CAGAGAACAGCAGCTCCCCAGAGGAGCTTACGGACTATTATTCTCCTTACAAAACACTGCACATTCTGCTATGCGACTTACAGCGCACACTGTTGTCCAAAGCAACGATTATGAAAACACTCAGGCACTTGCTTAATTTTTGCTGTTACAACTACTCCATTAAGCTTAATGGAGTCATTTAGCAAGGCTCATTTTTCCCCAGGGAGGCCGGACTCCCTGGGCGACCCATGGGATCACTGCACCCAGCTCCAGGGAGGCACCTTCGGTCACGCCGCAGCTTCACAGGCAGTTCTGGCAGCAACACCAAGATCTGCCAGCTTTAAAAAGCAGCCCTGCCTTCTCCACACCCTCTTTCCTCCTCTCTTACCGCCCCAGTAAACCAGATCATGGAAGCAATCCAGGTTAAAATTAAATCTGGTTTTCATTCAGTTCCTAGATCCAGTTCACCGCAGGGCCATATAAGCGTCCGGGCCAGCATGAAGAGGGCGAGAGGCACAGATAGGCATGAGCAACCAGGGTAGCAGCAAGTTACACCGCTTTGAACCACGCACAGCAACACCACTCCCCGCCACTGGAGCTTCAGCCCCGTGACGCTTATCTCACCATTACTGACGGTAAGGAGATAACAGCGCTGCTCCCTGTCCCCTTCCCACCCACATCTCCCTGTCCTCTCCTGCCTCGGCTTTGAGGCATGGCCCTGACCCCAAAACAGAAGGGGGTTAAAAACTACCAAGCCTTTGGGGCTGGGTTCATTTGCTGCCACATTAGCTTCCCAGACTGCCTTTCCAGGGTGCTGGACAGGAAGAGAGTGGGATAGGGTTAGGGCAGGATAGGACTAGGGCAGCTCAAGGATCTCCAGCTTTCCAAGTGCAAGGACACTCAAATCAAGCACATCCATATTTCCACTGACTCTAAGGAGGCAATCCTCCCTGGGAGCCGGGGATGCCTCCCACAGGAGCAGTTCACAGAGGTACATGCAAAAACACAGCCAAGTTCTTGCAAGAACGATGCTCAGAACCTTACATTTGACTTGTGTAAAAAAAAAATTAAAGGAAATCACTGTAAGTAAAGTGCCATTGAAAGGTCATACAAAGTACCCGTTTCCTTTTACATTCTTTGCATGTACAGAGATCCCAACAACTCCAATGGGATTTCTCCTGTATAACTTTACTAAAAGCTGATTAAGGAGAACGACCATAAATCCTGGTGCTAACTTAAAGCAAATTATTAACTTGATTTCATTGAGAGTGAATAGAATGTTATTAGATGGAGCACATAAAGGGCCTAATGACCCCTTAGATTTGTATATGCAGACCCTTTGGGAAATGACAAGAGTCCTGTGGCGGAGAGACACAAAGGCAAAAATCTCTCCACACTTCAAGGATCTGATATGATAATTAACTTCATCAAACTGCCTTCATGTGCTCAAGCTTTAAAAATCGTAAGTGTTAACTACAATATTTCCCTTTCACCTCACATTTTGAAAGCTCACCGTCCCATCATGTTTAAAGCAAGATTTGCAAAGGCAAACCTTCCCGCTCCAGTAAAATCTTCATCTGGGGCTCCTCGGACGGCTAAGCCCCGCACTGCAACCGGTACCTGCGGCCGAGCAAAGTCTTCGGGTGAACACCCGCTGGGAAACAAGGCGCGGAGAGCGCAGCAGCGCGACCCTCCGCAGGGGCTCCGGGCGCGCGGGAGCCCCGGGGCCGGGCGGGCAGCCCCGGGGCCGGGCACAGCGCGGCCGCGGCCACCGCGCACCCACCGCGGGCGCCCCCGCAGCGCCCGGGGCCGCCGCCCCGCGACCCCCGCCCGGCTCCGCGGCGCGATGGCCGGGGGGCGAGCGGCTGCTCCCCCCGCGCGGGGCGCGGACCCCGCACCCGTGCGCGCCCGCGCCGCTTTGTTCCGCGGCAGCGGCCCCGCGCCTGCCCGGCCGGCTCGGCGCCGCGGGAGCCCGGCCCGCGGTACCCCGGCCCGCCCGGGGTGAGCCCCAGAGGCGCTTCAGTCGCCCACCCGCTCGCTCCTCACCTGGCCCGCGGGTGCGCAGCGCCCAGGACTTTGTCCCCGCGCCCTTCCCAGCGCAGCGCGCCCGGCTCCGCGCAGGGCGGACAAGTTTCTGCCTCCACTCCGCTGCCCGCACCGGCGGCGGCAGCGGCGCTTCCCCGCCCGCCCCTTCCCTCCTTCCCTCCCTCCCGCGGCCCGACCCCGCCCCGCGGATCCTCCGCGCCCCGCGGAGCGGCCGCTCGTCGGGGCCGGCGAGACGGGCGGCCCCGCGCAGCAGCAGCGCCCGCGGTGCCGCCCCGAGGCGCCGGTGAGGGGCTGGGGCGCGCAGCCCTCCGCCCTCGCGTCCCCCTCCCTTGGCCTGAGCAATAGCCCCTGTGTAAAAAACTCCCCTGGGTTTATTTGCGAACTTACTGCCAGGTTACCTGGTTACTGCAGCTCCTTACGAGTTACTAAGAGCCGCGGGAGAAATGCAGTACAAGAGAAGCCTCGAAGCTGCGAGGTTTTAAAGGGTCACGAAACTGCTCAAAGGGGGCTCTAAGCAGCAGGAGGGGTAAGGAAATGGCTCCTGCAGCAGCTGAAATGCTGTCACCACCACTAGAAAGCGGCTGTAGGGCTCTCCCCTAAGCAGCTAAGTCACAGGAGCACAGAGCAACAAGCGCGCACCATCTGCAACCGTCTGCTGTGTTCAGTTCTATTACATTATTATTATTATCGTATGTGTGCATGCCTCCCTAGTATGCTATATTTCATAATTAACATTTGTTAAGCTGGAAGTCCTGTCATTCCCTCCCCAAGGGAGATGAGCCTTGGGAAGGACAGGCCCTATTTCTGGACAACTCATTGACTTTTTTTTTTTTTTTTGGCCAATTTTGGTTTGTTCTTATTTGCTTTTGTTTATTAATCTTAAGTAATAAAATAAATGATTCTATAAGAATCTATAAGAATATTAAATATAAGTATATTTAAGATTTTATCTGGACTACTGTTCACCTGCGAGTCCTAATCATGCAACCAGATCTCAATGCAATCAGACATTATAAAACCAATGACAGCCCCTGCTCCAGATGCTTACCCAGCCTAACAGGAAAATTTAAAAATTAAAGGGTGTGAGGAAACACAAAGACAAGATCAAAAATATTCTTTGCATTTGAAGGCATTATTTGCATGAAAACTCTGTAGTGGTCCTTCATGCCTTGGATAGTCAGTGCTATAGGCTGTGCTTAGAGTTTCGCCTTCCCTCCAGACCGGCTTTGCCCTGTCCACAGCAGGTCCCACGTCTTAGAGGAGCAAAACTCTGGATGGAAGTGAATCTCTATAAAAGGCTAGCATGAAAAGCAAAGTATATATGGGATCATGGTAGCCTTGGAGGGTTAGATGCAAGGACACAAGTCAATGAGGGATACGAGCCACACTCATGTCCGGCAGACTAACATAACCAGTTGTGATCATGGCCTCAGTGAAGGCTTTTTTCACTTTCTTTCAGTGAAGGAAGCTGCACAGTAGCAAAGGGTTAGATGCTTTTACTATGCAGCACAAGGAGTTTTAAGAAGCTCATTTTAGTCTTATGGAATATATGGTATCTCCTACCAATCCTGCAAGGAGAGTTAACTAAGTTGTACTATCTAGGAATATATATGATGGTGTAGTGATAGAAGGAGATAAACACTGCAAAACTCTTAGAAAATAATCACTTGTCATTACATGCAAAACAACAAATCCAACAGGCAAACACTTCCCCCACCCTCCCATTATATTTAGAATAATCCTTCAGTAAAAGCAGTAGACTCTCCACTACAGCATGGAGAGAGTCTGCTGAAGGTTACACAGAGGATCTATCTGCAACATGTTCCAGTATAACAAATACCTGCCAAGAGTAGGGTCATTATTACATAATTAATAACTTTAAATTTGTGTTATGTACAATGTTCCAGACCAACTTCTCCTACTGAAGGAAACTTTTATAAGCCCATAGTAAGAATATTGCTTTGCTTATTTGCAGCTCTCCTCTATAAAGACTCTATTGGCAAGGTTTCTGGCAGTCTCTTCCAGCTCCACACACCAAGTGAGAGATGCAGTTGAGCAGAGAGCTACCGAGGCCCATCAATGACAGTACTGCTTATAATGACATATGAAAAAGTGTCAGAACCTTAAAGATTATTTTATACAACAGTTAGCTCCTGCAGTGTCAGGACTGTGCCTCCAAATTTTATCCAATAGACTTCAGTTAGCTACGTGCTTCTAAAAGGAAAGGAAAGCCAAAATTCTCACATATTGAAATGAACTCAGGAACTAGGGATTTAAAAACAAACTATTTTAGAAGTCATGCTAATAGCTGCAATGTTGCTAATGTTACACAAATGGTGATTCAGTTTATAGTATGTGCCAAGAAGGAAAATATCTAGACGCACAAAGTACTAAATTAGTCACCCACCCCAAAAAAACGTAAGAAAGCAGAACTCCAGGAACTTTAATCAGCTGTCTCTAATATTTTAAAGCCAATATCACCATCAAATGCTACGTATTGTAGATTCACATCACTGCTGAAATTCTTGCAAACATCAAGAAACAGTCTGTCCCTCACACAGTCATGCTGTTTTGCATTCCCAGGCCCAGACCTTGCTTCATGATTCACTCAAGCAAAACATCTAGTGAAAGAAGCAAGAGCTTAGCAGGAGGGCAGAGAAAGAGCTAGGACAAAAATCAGAATGTGGATACAAACACCCTGCTCTTTTAAGGAAGTTTAAATCTTTATGTGGACCCCAAGATTGCTGTTGAGAGCTTAAATCTCATGTAAGATTAAAAAAAAAAAAAAAAACCAACCAACCAAACAAAAACTTACGATGGACTTTTTACCCTGCTGTGTCCTGTGTAAGGAGGTTTTAATGAACACCATCTGTGGCTGTTCCTTGTGCTCACCAGGTTCTTAAGGTGTGACCAACAAAGCACTATTTTTGCAAGAATATGCTATTCCTCCCACCTTCACCTGCTGTATTTCTCACCTGCTTGATTTTGCCTCTCCAAGAACTGCTGTGTTAGATGATTCTTTTTTCCCTCAATCTTATCCACTTTTATCTTCCTCTCTCTGATTTGCTGTGGAACAGCATGCCTGGCCGAGTCAGTACTTATGTGGATTTTCTCTCAGTGGTTGGTGTTTCTACTTGTCCTCCAAGTGTCTCTCCCTTTTAAGAGGTGAAATCCTTTATGTGTCCCCTCCTGACCTCCCTACATGTCTGCCTTCTGGGCACTTGCTTTGCTTTTGTGCTCTGCTCTTCCCCAGCTGTCCTCATCCCATCCAGCCACTGCAGCTGGTGCTCGTTTTGCTTGCCTGTGGCTGTTCGGTGGCTTCTGGGATCCAGCCCTGCATTTGGGGGAGAGACAGGAGGCCTAAAAGGCGTTTCTTTTGAATTAGGCTGACCCCAAGTCAAGCTGAGGGGTAATTCAGTCTGGGAGATAGGGGCCCCACTGCTCTGTTTAGTTTTGGGCTTTGGCCACTGAGTCTGTAGGCTTCTCTTGAGCCTTTTGTCACCACTTTCTATGCATTGCAAATGCACAGAAATGCATTCCTCTGTTGCTACTGTTCAAGTTTTCTGCCAGCTTTCATTCTGGGTTTTAACTGGTGCAGCACATGCACAGGTTTTGGCACTGTTGCTACCCTGCACTTTGGGGACATCACAGGCCTTTGGAAAAAAGAGGAAAATAAGACTTGGCCCTTGGATCTGGCCACGTGTTCTTTAAATGTCTACTCACTAACTGGTGTTTTGTCAGGAGCCTGGGACTCCTTAAAAAATTTGGAATCCCTTCTACGCTATCTACTCTTCAGTACAACGCAGAAGTGTAAAGACTACTTCTATCAAATCTCTTTTCTGTATCTTTTTCCAAATGATTAGTTCAGTTAGTGGGGAAAAATGCATAGTGTGAATCATTTGATGTCAAATATTATATTATATAAAGACTATATCTTAAAGTCTTTACAGATACAATTCTTTTCTTTCTTCCCCAATACATTTAAAGAAACAGTCTCCAAGAGAAGTGTTCTGAAAAAACATACATATCTTCAGTAATATTCAGTTAGTAAATGTAAATTAAAGAACATGAAGATGTTTGCCTCTCTTACTACTGCTTACATACACGTGTACACATACAAGGAAAAATACCTATCCTAGATGCACAGCCTAGACAGTGTTCTGACTTGTGTGCCCCCTCTACTGGTTAGCCTCTTTGAGTTTGTTAATACAGGTACTCTCAAAAGTTGTGTTGGAGTTATCAATGAAGATGGCACAATAACAAAATCAAACACACTAATGAAACTATTTCAAAGGATAAGTAACTTCCTAAACACACAGACTTATGATTTCATGATTACTTGCTTTAAACATGAAATCAGATAGCAAGTATTTTTAAAATATGAAGATAGACAGAGCTAACTTGGTTAAATACAAAGACAAAGCTAACAGAGTAATGCAAAAAATTCTGTTGCAGAGGAGCATCTCTGAAACACAGGAGATACATGTGGATGAGATGCCCTTTAGTTGATATAACATCTTCATTCATCTTGGGGGTTGACAGGCGTAATCAGTAACATCTGCAGATCTTTCAGGTTGTAAGATGTTGAGGTGGGCCAAATTGAGAATGTGAAGATGGACCCAGACATCAGCCAGTTTTTGTTAATTAATAGAATGGAAGTTACACCCTAGTCAAATAACTCAAGTACAATTTGATTCAAGGTGGTATGAGTAAAGAACAAAAAATATATTGGTATAAATTTGGAAGCTGATCCTTACCACTTAAAATAAAAGCTAGAATGGAAAGAAGAAGCTGATGGACCTAGAAAATCAGCAAAGACTCCAGCTCTGTAAACTCTAGCTTTTGTTCATGTCCCCATGTAAGAGATCTATCTCAAACAAGGCTCTGGGCAATGGTGTTACTTCCAGTGAATATTTTCCATGTGATGAGATATTCATATACCACAGTACATATCACAGCAAACCAACCCAAGCTATTTCTTTGAATTGAAGGTGCAAATGAAAGCAACAATATTGTTCTCATTAGTGTAATCAGTACACGGTCCTGGTGAACTTCATCACAAGTCCCATGTGATAACTGGAAGGGTGCCCCTGGGGCACAAACAGGCACACCAAGGCCAAAAACAGGTCCCAGTGTGTTCCCAGATGGTTAAATCGCTCTCACATGACTCTGCTCCAAAGCCTAGGAAGCCAATGGAGTTTTATATTGAGTCAAATGAGATTTATCTTGAGCCCAGAGAGAAGTGTTTCATTTTCAAAAACAGCCATTATGAAAGTGTCTCCTCTGGTGGCAAATACCACAGGGCAGAAAGAAGAAAGGGGGAAAAGTGAGGAAACAGCAGGCTTCTGGAAAACACAAAATCCTGCCTAATTTCAGTTTCAAAATAGTCCTTTGTGAATGAAGCACAGATAGGCCCCTCAGCCCCTTGGAGATACTGATCTCGTTCAGAGAAAACAAAACTTTGTTTTTTAGCACAGACTTACATTACCAAGGAGATCAGTGGTGGGACTCCAGACCAACGTCTTTCTCAAGCTTTTATCATATTTAAACATTATCTTTTTTTTTTTCAAGTCAAAAGCTGCAGAACTGCTGGGACTGCCAACACAGCCTTTCCCTCCAAACCAAAATGAGACCAAAAAACCAATGTTTCTTCTGCCACAGATATCATCACTACTGCGAGAGATTCTGCTGTCACAGTCTATCTTATCTTCCCCAGCGGGGCGTTTACAGATTCTTCAGTTGCCTTATTGTACCAGTGCACATAAACCTGCAACACAGCTCCTAAAAGGGCCACTTTAGGCCTTCATTTAGGTGTCAGCATTTAGTTTCTTTTCTCTTTCTGGCATTTTCTTCTTATCCTTCAGTTGATTACCCTATTGGTGCAGTGGTCAGAATACAACTTTGTTTCTCCTGTGAATTCATTAGCGCCTTACGACTAGGAAAAAGAAAAAAGAAAGAAAAAGACAGTCTCTCCTTTCACCTGATAGCAGCAGGCAGGATTGCAAACAAAAAAAGATCTATTATGCAATAAGTTGATTTTTTTAATGCATTTTTTAAAATGAGTATACTCTTTAAGGAATATTTGTATTTTTGCATTTTTTTGCCTTTTGCATTTTTTCATTGCATTTCAAAAAGAAAAAAGTATTATCTGTAAAGAAAGAATATGGGCAACATGTCATATGACTTATGTTGCAGATTATTTTTCCTTTGAGTCCTAACTATGTGCCAAATCACATTTAACACCTGATTAGTTAAAATGCATAATGAATGTTTTCTTAAAAAATTAGCTTTCCTCACACAGAAATGGCTTTGTTAGCTCACTAGAGCCTTATTTCTTGGTACAATCAACATTATTTGGCCCAGATCACTGGATATGAATTCTGAGGCAATGTAAAAAAGTGAAAAAGTAACACTTTTCCACAGTTTTCACCTCTTTACAATCCTTTTCTATCTACCATAGCATTCAGATTCATGGATGAGCCAGGCAGTTGTGCCTTCGTTGTGTGACTGGTTTACAATAGTAATCGAACTAGTCTATTCACTGTAGGCTCAAAAAAGAAAAAAAAAAAAGAGTATTTTCTAATTATGTTCCAGGTTTTAGCCTGAAATACATGCGTATGTGTTGTCCTGAACCAAGACATCTTCCTAAATCCAGACCTAAATTGCCAGCACAAGCTTTTATGACACACACAGTTTCTTTGGAGGCCTCTTATCCAAGCAGCAAGTGCATCTGATCCTTATTAGTATATGAAATGTGAAGGATGTGAAGGAAGTGTCATGTAAACTGTGACCATTGGTACAAGTGAAATAGAGGGCTGCCTGAGTCTTGAGAACAAATGTTTACTGAGGAAAAAAAAAAAAAAAAGCAAGAAAAACAGCAAATACATACAGAGGCTGAGTTATATAAGACTACTTATATCAAAGGACCTCTGATCTGCAGAACATCCTGGCTTAACTTCACATACATGACTGAGCTTCTGTGGGGACAGGAAAATTATGCTATTGCTCTTTTCTATGCATGTGTCATTTAATTCATGAACCGGTGAATTATTTCTTCTCTTTGTCAGCAATTGCTCCAGAAGAGCCTTTGATTAGGGAAAATGGTCAGAATTATGTATTTTAGAGGCAGGTCAGTATGCTTTTACATTATCAGTCTGTACCACTGAATCCCAGACTGCAAGTTTCTGCAGCATACAGATTTTTTAATAATTAAATCCTGATGAGAAACAATGTTATGCAAGTCTGTGCTGTCGCTCTGCAAAACGAACAGGCAGTCACGGAGCACAAAGCCTAGGGTCTAGTTGTATGTAACTTACAAGTCAGACCTACTAATTTAGAACAGATAAACCAGAATTAAGACAGAGACTTTCATAGTCCACTTTTCATAGTCCTCCATTTTAAGCTCATCCTGTAGATGTTGCTTCAGGTCTTTCAAGGACTGACAAAAGACAGACTGGCTCATTTAATAGTTCTCCTTCTTTCTTAGCTGTTTCACAGTGGTTTTCATCACCACAGAATCTAAGTTCCTGTTCCTTTTTTTGATTTTCAGAGGAAGACAGGATGATACACATAATTCCGTGGAATTCAAACTTCTGGTGAAAAGTCTGATACAGCCCTTATCGACACAAAGATTCCTGGGCCAAAGCTGAGAGAGGAATTGGTGTCAGAGAAAGACTGACAAAGAGAAGTAAACATTCAAAGAGGAGTAAACATTTTATTCCGAGGTAGGAAACTAAGAGCAAGCTGGAAGTTGTGGCCCGTAGTGAGCTGGAGCACATTCTGGGCAGCCGCAGTGAATCACACTTAGGACCGCAAGTTAGGACCCTGTGAACATGGCAAAGATGATGTTTCATGGGATTGACCACAGGGTTAGGCAACACAGTGGTCCTGTTTGCACACCAGTTTCGCCCACAACGGAGATGATTTGCCATGGAATGACTCATGACTGATTCCTGTCAGTGAATTGCACCTTCAGGATCTGAGTCAAGAGGAGGCATCAGTATTAAAGAAGTA